AAGGCTGTAGTGTTATTCTAAGATGGGGCTTGGCACAATAGGGTTTCTGCAGCAATAAAATATAGCCATGTTGAAGGACCGCTCCTCCCTTGTCTGCTTCAGATACATGACATAACAGAACCAGGTTGCAGGCTTCCCCTGAATGCCATCCCAAATGGCTGAGGTCTTATTTGAATGCCAAGAGAACAAACGTTTATGTTTTGCACCTAAAAAAGGATTGTGTGTCTTGATAAGTCTGTCAAATCAAAAAGGCCATTAAGAATAACCTGAAAATGTTTGTCTTTCTACTTGTCCATCAACACACTTTTCTGTAAGTGTTTTCAGAGGCACCGAGTTTAAAATATGATGTCAAGATCAGTCAAAATAATCTGTGTAGTCTAGACTCTGGCAAGATCTCTGCACCTTTGCTGAGTCGCTGGTGGGGCTCCCCCTCCCCCAGCTAACCCAAGTGAATCTGCCAACATCACAAAAAACCCATCCCTAAACCATCCAGAGTTTCCTTTCTTGTAGGAAGACATAAAGTTTAAAGCTGAAGATGTTTCATTGTTAGAGAGATGAAGGGACGTAATAGGCCAATGTTACAGGCAAGGGTTCAACATTGCTTGGTCCTCCAGTTGAGAAGACAGGGTCTCTGATAGTTTCCTAGGGTTAGTGACTATAGGTAGGTAGCCCCTGATGGAGGTTTGGGATTGAAACTTGGAAGTTAGGTTGGGCATGGTGGCTCACACCTGCAATCTCAGCTTCCACGGAAGCTAAGGCTGGCAGATCTCTTGAGTTTAGGAGTTATGGGCTGCAATGGGCTAAACTAATCAGGTGTCTGAACCAAGTCTGGCTAAATTAAGATGGTGAGCTCCTCAGGATGGGAGGAGACCAGGTAGCCTAAGGAAGCTCGAACCGAGCCAGGTAAGAAATGAAACAGGTCAAAGCTCCCTTGCTCATCAGAGGGTGCCTGTAAGCAGCCCTACATTTCCAGCTTGAGTGATATGGAAAGACTCAGTTTTTAAAAAAGAAAAAGAGAAGAAACTTGTAAGTTGAGGTGATAGATTTATACCCATTGACACCAGGCATTGTTACTTATGTCAACTGTGTGTCAGTTTGGTCAGATGGAAGAGAGAATGCTTCTGGTTTTGCACCATCCCCTCCTGAGTCCTACAAGTATTTTAAGCATTCTTCCTGACTCTTTATAACCTTAGTGGCTCTCTCTGCCCCATGGGCCCCTCATAACTAGGCATCTCTGAAGACCTATGAGATGACACAGCTTATGGACAAAGTAACTTCTACAAAACTTATCTACTCTCCTTTTCCCAGTTTCCTCTTTCTGATTGCATCATATCTTTTAAATGGTTCCTTCTGGAACCAGCCTCTCTACCACTGTGTCAAAAACCCTGATAGTTTCATTGTTGTAGACACTCAGAGACTAGCAGACCAGCCACAAGGTTACGGCTAAAACCCAAACTCTGGCTAAGCCAATGAATCTAGACAGAAGCCAGAAAAGTCTAGATAATGTTAAATCTTAAATACTGGGCAGAGATTTGTAAGGAGGGGTCATGAAATGAGCACTTTAAAAGATGAGCAATTTATAGCTCTTCAGACTTGGGGAGGGTGACATCTCAGTAGTTTTTGTGGCTAGGGAAAAGATGAGCTAGCTAACTTGGTACTCAGTTTCCACTTTTGACTCCATTTTGACCTCAGCATAGCATTTCCTAGGTGAGAAAAGAAAGTACCTTGAACCCCAGCTTCCACCCCCCCCCCCCCACCCCCCCCCCCCAGGCCTTCCAGAAAAAGAGCCTTTTGTCGTGAGCTCTGACAATTTTACAAGTTCCCCATTTTGGAGTCATTGATACTGGGTCCTGAGGGCATGCTTTGGCTAGTCTAGCTGAATAGATGAAGTATGGCTCCCTTATTAACTTGTCAAAGTACGATGCAGCTGCATCATTTGCTCACCCATTTGCTTAACTTAAATAAAGGTTGGTGGTTAGGCTTCTGTTGCATTGTGCTCTCCTGCTAATTATCAGTGTATTTGTTTTAGAGACAATTAGCCACCTGGTTCATTCCCCCATTGAAGTCAGGTCATCATGAGTTACATCTGCTTTCAGAACTCTTCAAGTCCAAGACATAATAAAAAGATGATGGCTATGATTATAAAAATCGTGCGGGCTTGGGCGTAAGTCGTGGAGAATATTGAATTCCCAAAGAGGATTGGGTTACATCTCTCTTGCTGTGCCTTTGCCCAGCATGTCACGGAAGATGGATGGGACCCGAAAACGGCTCTGCAGAGCCAGAAAGTCCTTTTGCCTGCAAACAGGAAGAGTATTTGCAAAGGTAGACACGGATAATGGCAAGGCAAAGTGAGACATGATTTCTCCCCAGGGCGCTCTGCTGATACAACAAAAAATGACAAGTAAGCACGGCTCCACACTTGCAGAATTTGCATAAAACTCAAGTTGTTTAGACCTGTGGGTGTTTCCTCTGGTTAAAAATGTGCCCTATAATGTGACATAATAGTATGCAGGATACACGTTTCCTTTTACAATCCCATATGTTCTGCCCAAACTTGGCTGTTGGAGCTGAGTTTTCATTGTACAAGGACTTTACCGAACTGCATGGTGAACAAGGCGGCTCATGTAGATTTCCAGGTCTGGTGAGTTGGTGGCCTCTTAACTGGCCTCCCTGCTCTTAGTGAACAAAAAAAATCTTCTGAAGGCACAGATCTGATCCTGCTACTCTCCTGCTCAAGTATCTTTGGGGGCTCCCTACTGCCTTCAAGGGGAAAAAAATGCACACTCCTCAATCTGCCACTTAAGACTTTCCATGATCTCACTCAGACCTGTCTTTCCAACCTTTTTTCACATACTCCTCTTCAAGAACACTACATTCAAGCAAGACTCTATTGCTTGCTGTTTCCCATCCTCAAGAGGCCATCTCCCATCAGTGAATCAGTTGTACGGCATCCTCTATACTCAGAATTCAGTTGTCTTTATCACCAGTTCCATTCTCTTCTTTTAAGGCTCAACTCAGGTGACACTTTCAATCTTTCCTTATCTTAAAAGAAAATTGTTGATGGCTTTTTTTTTACATGAGTTAGTCAACAAGTATTTATTAAGCATCCACTACATGCCTGCTGGGGATACAAAGAGAGGCAAAACTCAAATAGCTCCTGCCCCTAAGGGGTTCACTGTATAATGGGGTGACAACAAGCAAACAATTACACTCACCTTCACTTTCAATACTGTCCTCTCCCTCCCCCCTGCCATCTCTTGTAACAAAGGATAAGAGAGAGAGACAGACAGACAGACAGACACTCAGAGAAAACCACATCAGCAAAACTAAACAATATTCAACTAAGTCTGGCAATACATGCAATGTTCCACACCCAGAGCCCCCTACCTTTATGAAGCAGGGACAGAGGTGCATTTTCTCCTCTCCAGGGCCAACCTGAATTACTGCTTGTTGTTATTTTGGTTTTCTCCATCTCCACTGGTGTAGTCATTGTGTATATTGTTTCCCCCCTTCTTCATACTTTAATTTGCATCAATTGCTATGCCTTTAAAATTTCTAAATCTTTTTGCTTTGAACGTAAACCCTTCAAAAGAACATTCCAACAGATATCTTAATAACTCAAGGAGAGAATTCAGTATTGAACTGTGAATCTCCATTTCACACCTCCTGATTCACAGAAGTCTTTCCGTACTCCTCTATACTCTTCAGACTTCTTTCTCTACCACACTTTTGTTCAAATACCTTTCCCCTCCAACCCCTTTGTCCTCCCCCATTGGAATAAAAGCTCCTTGAATTCAGGGAAGGTCTTTCTTCTTCATTTGTATTCTCAGCACTTAGCACAGTGCCTGGTACATAAGAAATACTTAATAAATACTTGTTTGAGTTGACTTGAGAGCTGTGGTGGTATTCCATTACATTAGTGTACTATAAACCATTCCCTAGTTGATGGGAGCATACAAGAATAGGTCTTTAATTTGTATGATTGTTAGGTCTTGATTCGAAGGATGGCCAGTTACATTCCAAGGAGCAGTACTGGCCCATCCATATATAAATTGGATCTTCACAGCTCCTGGCGGCATGCTGTGAGTCCAATGTAGAGAGAAGGTCAATGGACCCCACAGAATATTTTCAGGGTCAGGTCTAAATGAATGTTAAAACAATAATAGGAAACTGAATTCATTTAGGTAGCTCAGCACTCGAGACTGAAGGCTGTTGAGTCAGATGCAGCTGGGGAGTAGGTCAAGCACTCATATGGGAGGAAATAAGGCATCTTTAGAACTGTAACAGTTATTGCAACCCAGATGGGTATACTGCAACCAAATCTTTGATGAATCAGAGGACCTGGATTCAAATCCTGCCTCTGCTTCTTGCTACCTTTGTGATTCACCCCTTCAACCTCTCTGAGCCTCACTTTCCTTCTCTGTAAAATGGGGGGTTTGGATTGAATGACCTCTATGGGCCTTCCACTTCTCCATACTTTGGTCCTCTGTGTACCAGCTGAGCACAGAAATATAGTATTCAAGTTTTAAATTGGAATCATTTGTCAATATACATTTATTAAGCACCCACTGTGTGACAGGCAGTGTGCTAGGGATACAAAGAAAGGCAAAAGACTGTCCCTGACCTCAGGGGACTGACTCACAGTCTAATGGAGGAGATAACGTGAGGACAACTCCATACATAGAAGGTTTAAAAGTACAAATGGAAATTTTTAGAGGGAAGGAATTAGTAGTGGGTGTGAATAGGAAAAGACCCCCTCTAGAGGGCAGGATTTGAACTAAGTCTTGAAAGAAGCCAGGGAGGCCAGTACCCTAAGTTCTTGAGATGGGGGTGCAACTTCCTTATATTACTGTTGAAGGGGTCCATTGGTCCAGACACTGATTCATTTTGTGAAACAATTGTAATGTTCACGATTAGGATTCCAAAGTGGGTGGAAAGGTAAATTATTTGTGGAAAATCTCCTAATTTCTGTTATTTTTGGAAAATCTTTTGATTTCTAGGATTTCAATTTGACAAGCACTTATTAAATACGTACTCTACAAAGCATCAAGGGATCTACATTGCTGCGAGGAATGCAAAGGCAAAGATGAAGTCATCCCTGTCTTCAAGGAGCTTCTCTTCTCTTGAAGGTGGGAGGCACATGTACATGAGTAAGTGTAAAGCTTACAGAAACATTTTCAGGAGGGACAGACCTCTAATAACTGAGGGTTATTATATGGGAGATGGCATCTGAACTGTGCTTTGAAGGAAGCTGGGGGTTTCAATAAGGTATAGGTGATAAAAGAATGTATTCTCTAGGTGTGGAGGCCACATATATAAAGTCACGGAGGTGGGAAATAGAATGTTGTATGTAGGGAACAATTAGCTAGCAATCTGGTTGTATTGGAATGGAGAGTAAAGGCAATAGAGGACAATTTAAAAAAAAAAAGACTGGAAAGATAAATTGGAGCCCAATTGAGATGGGCTTTAAATGCCAGGCTCAGGAGTTTGTATTTTATCCTGGAGAAAACCAAGAGCCATTAATGATTTTTGAGTGTGAGAGAGAGAGTGTATATGTGTGTGTGTGTATATGTGTGAGCACACACATGTACGCAGCACGGTCATATATAAATTTTTAGGAATATCACTTTGGCAGCTATGTGGAGGATGGGTTGGAGAGGAGGGAAACTAGAGACAGGAAGACCAAGTAGGTGGTTATTGAAATAATTTAGATCCCAGGTGATAAGGGCCTGAACCAGGACAGAGGTTGAGTGGAGATATGGAGATCAGATGAAATAATTGCTAAGTGTTAGCACAGTGCATGGCATAGAGTAAGACCTATATAAAAATTAGGACAGTGATGATGATGGTGATAAAAGTGAGAGATTGTATGGGGGTAGAATTGATAAGCCTTGGCAACTGACTGACCATGGGGGTTGACAGAGTGAGAAGAATCAAGGATAACTAAGGTTTTGAACCTGAGCGACTGAAAAGATGGTGGAGCCATCAATGGAAGTGAGGAAATGAGGAGGAAAGATGGATTTAAGGTGGGACAATCAAATGAGTTTCATTTTGGACAGGTTGAGTACAGTGGGGATACGTTAAAAGAACAAACACTGATTTCCAAAGTGTTGGCAACGAGTCATTCCTTCAGTATGGTGGGAAGAGAAGTGAAGGAGTTGATGTTAGGTAGCTCTTCTTCTTTCCATTTGTATAGCTTGACTGTTCACACTGTCCGAGTTCCCCAGATTATGGCCTGCTCTCCACTCTACAGGAAATAAACCTGGCCTCAGATGTTTCCTACCCCAGGTCTCTTTTCAATGCTGTTGATGAGTGGCCAGTTTTTTAAAATGGAGGTATTACAGAACTGCAGGCCACTATTGGAAATGATAAGAAATAATTCTACTAATTGAGGTGAGAAGTAGACCTGCAACTTTTGATCACCTGCATGCAATCCATTAGACTGAAGATATATTAGGGAGAACAAAGGGAGAGTGAGAGAGGGCAGTTGGGTGGGATTGGCCTAATTTGCTAATGTATGGATAAGTCATTCAGCTTGATTGTACATCACCATAGGTGGCACATGATTCCCACTCCTAGAAAACAATTGCTAGTTACATAATGATGCTGGACAATGTGAAACATAAATAAGATTCCGGGAACATAGAGTATAGACATCTCGGAGGCTATCTCTTTGCTCACACGCATTCCGTGTAAGATGGGCATTTAAAAAAAATAAAGCCGAGGGTGGGCACAATTTGAGGGGCTAGGACCCAAACTACATGAAAATGTATTTCCGTTGTCTGGGTCTATTTTTGAATGACTCATCACGGGGCTGCCACAAACTTAATCCTGTTTAGCAATTATGATTTACTTCAGTTGGCTCCACTGGTTAGACAGTTTAAACTTAGATTTAAAGAATAATATCCACTTTGTTGCCCTACATAAACTTTGGGGGAAAGAACACATACTTAAAATGGCATTCTTGGCACAGAATAACTAAAGCTGGAGACAAAAGCTTACTGTACTTTTAATATACATTTTTTAAAATGAGTTTTTTTTTTAATGGGAACATCAAAGATCACCCTGTTCTTTAGCTAGGGGTGAGGCCTGGGGGGAAAGGCTCATAATAAAAGCCAATTACAGAAAGGACATATATTGTTTATTCAGACCTGAAGGAAAAATATACTTTTTTTTTTTAAGTATCAAGGAAAAAAATAAACAAAAGCAATCCCAGGAGTTTTGGACCTGTTGTGCAGCTAAGGAAAGACCAAAGCTGTTTCACTCATGGAAGCCTGATAGTACATGAAAGAAGTTGAGAAATTAGTGGCTTTCCCCCAACCTGAGGCACTGAGCAGAAGAATATGTATTTTGAGAAGGCTGTTTCTCAGGTTGCCTAGTGGGCGTAGTGTATGATTATGGGTCTGTGTTGTGACACAGCTCCTGTTCTGTGTGGTATTTTTTAGTCCTCCTTCTTCAAGAGTATCAGCTTATGCCTTGCTAGCCTCATCTCTTAGAGTTATAATTAAATAACTTTGAGAGGGTTGATAATGGGAGATGGAGGCATTAGGGGGGAACGAAAGTGGTATGAACTTAAAGGAAGCCTGCCAAACTTAGGAATCTAGTATTTTTGTGTTGCTATCTCCTTCTTTCCACCCTTACCTGTTCCTCATTCTTCTTTCTCTCAAACACTCTCAGAATGGCACATTCAAAATGGTATTCTGTGTCTGTTGAAGGAAAGATGATTTTTAAAAAGGGATGCTGTTGTATTTGGTGCTGTGGGAAGGACATTGGACGTAAGATAGGAAGAGCTAGGTTTGAATCCTACCTCAGACATTGACTAGTTGTGTAATCCAGGGCAAGTCACTTAACTGCTCAGTGCCTCAGTTTCCCCATCTGTAAAATGAGGGTGGGCCTGGGCTAGAGAGCCTTTAAGGTCCCTTCTTAAAGGGGACCTTCTGGCTCTAAATCTATTATTCTGTCATTTTATGAAGTGAATCTAAGCAAGGTACTTTATACTTCAATGGTTCAAAGATTTACCCTCTTTCACCCTAAGGTGGGTATTTCATCCATTCATGCATGTAGAGATCTCTCTGCAATTTACTCAATAGTCTTTGTGAACAATTGTGTCTGGGCTGGTGGTCATGAGCATCCCCCCCTTCAGCTGAATCAGGCTTATCCTTGGATGATGGTAACCCATCCATCTCTGAGCCGTTTTATTAAAGTCTTTCAAGCCGTATAGGACCAACCTGGGTCCCTCCTCTGCTAAACAAGCCCACAAGACCTCCTCCAGGCTATGACGAAGGTATGGGCTTGAGATGGCATAACTAGCAACATACACATTAATGTTGCATGGATAACCCCTCAGGAAAACAGACCAAAATGAAAGCTGTATGAAATCCACTGCAAGGAGAGGAGAAAACTCCACAGGTCAAAATTTTGGGATAGAAAAGAAAGAGAAAAAGAGAGAGGGAGAGGTTGTTATCAGCTTTTTGCATCTTAGTCATTTAGGGATTTGGTGATTTCTTTTCACTGGCACACTTTTTTTTCTGTCTGCCTTTTCTTCCATCTAAAGTTAGTCTTCATATGTAAGCAAATTTATTATGATGCACACATCTTGCTTTGGTCGTGGCTGGTAGATGTCCTTGAGTGAGAATTCCTCTGTAAAATAGACACAATAATAATATATACCTCCTGGGTTTGTGGTAAAGTTCAAATGAGATAATACGTAAAACACTTTGTAAACCTTAAAACTATAAATGCTAGTTGTTATTGTTATTTTCATTTCATATGGCTATCAATTAGTGGCAAAGACTGGTTTTAGGATCAAAGATATATGAATATGACTTTTTCCCCTCTTTTTGTTGAAAAATGTTCAGTTCGGGTCATTCTTCTTTTGGAAACCAATCAAGAATATTTATCTCCTAAAATAGCTGTGGAAATAATACAACACATAATATGAAACACGAGAGAGCCTTAATATCATTCTAGTATCTATCACCATTATCAAATAAATTTCCGTATGGTATCTTTAGCACATGGTGCTGTATTTGTTACTAGATGCTCTGATGGAGTGCTATCTCATAGCCTTTTCATTCTTAAGACAGGGCAATATTACCACCGGAATATATCCATATATTAAAGACTTCATCATTATACATTAACTACATTAAAGATTTCATCAGAGTGAAATTTCTCCCTGCAGATGCATATTGTACCCCATGTAACAGTCTCAGAGAGTTGTCTGAGATTCACAGAGGTTAAGTCCCTTGTTTCTGGTCAGACATTTAGTCAACTCCAGGATTTGAGCCTATGTCTTCCTGACCCTAAGGTCAGCAATAGCAGCGTGCTGCTTTGTCTCTCTAATAGTTGGAAAGATGTATAAAAATAGATTCTTGTCCTGGCTGATTAGCTGTAGTCATCCTGGTAATTCAGAACAAACCTGTAATTACTTAGATAGTGGAATTCTTTTTTTCCCATGAATTATCTAGGTTGGGTAGTTACATTAGCTACAGACAGTGGATTATAGCACTTTGTTTGCACAATAGACAGGCAAAGTAAAGTTGAGCAATGATCCAATGAATTTTGGCTGTGAATTCAATTAATCATTTATTCATTAATTCATTTATTTACTTGTTTGCTTTATTTTGTTCATCCATTATTTATTTGTTGGTTTATTCATTTATTTATTCACTTATTTATTCATTTATTTATCTATCTATCATCATATATTTATTTGGGACTAAGTCTCCCTATCTTGTCCAGACTGGAAGCATAGTGGCAACCCATAGGCCCTATCCCCACACTGATTGGCATGGCCTTCTCTGTTTTTGATTTGAACCCCTTCTTAGGTAGCCTGATGGCCCTTGGCTTCAGAGACCTATCCCATATTGGTGCCAGAGTTAGTGTGGAAACCTGCTCAGCTTTAGCCCTACTGCAGCTCAGAATTCCCTAGCCCAATTGATCTACCAGCCTCCATTTCCTCAGTGGCAAGAACTAAAAGCATATGTTGCAATGCCTAGCTTCAATCCATTTATGCAATGGGGAAAAAGAAGGAAGAAACTCAAACCCAAATCCCTTTCCTTGAGGAAAAGATTTATAATTCATTATAGAATTATTTCAATTTTCTATTGTTAAAGTAAATAAGTATTTATTTGCTGTGTGATTCAGG